TATATATATATATAATAATATATATATATATATATATATATATATATATATATATATATATATACTATATATAGTGTATATATATATATATATATATATATATATATATTGTGTGTGCGTGTGTGTGTGTGTGCAACGAAGCGGCCTTTGAGTTTTCACATAGCAGAAGATGGCATCAGAATGCACCCTCCCGCACAGTATAAAAATCTGACTGATGCTAAAATTTCTTTTTGTTTCTTGTATTTGTGTGTGCAGCTCACATTTTTCAAACACGGCGAAGGCGCGACCGCGGTTTCAGGCAGACAATGAAGGAGTTGTGGAGGAATATAAAGCACGCATGGACGAATTACTAAGCAGGTATGTAGAGAAATAGAAGAATTACTTTGTTGGTGGGTATGTTTACTGATTTGATAGGGTAAGCAACTCTGCGGGGATGCACACTATCTTGTTAAACGCTTATGTATGCAAGCATGTACTCTCGCATGTATTCATGCACATATGTCGTATACACAGGAAGTGATAAATCAAGCCACGTGTATACGAAATTTTCTACAGTGTCTTTGTTATACCCGTCGGCGTATTATATCCATGATCGCCCCCAGTGTTGTCGATTTATTTTTGCGCGTATCCGTTGCTGCATCTCTGCGATATGTCCGAGTGTTTTGTAAGTGTTTTTTTACATGTACATAAGAACCTATCAAATGTGTCTGGTGTGAAGGTTACGTTAATGAATTGTATAAAATCTTCTGGGTATCCGGCGTGAATATAAAACACTCAGGCTGTATTTGGTGACCAAGACACTTCCAAAAAAAAGATAGTATGTGTCAAGTTCTCGGAATGGAGGTGTATTTGATACAGGTTTTTCTTTTGTCAAACACTGAAACCATACCTTAATAGCTGTGATGATATCATTCACATCTTCAAATATTGTGCCTGCAATTCTGTATCCAGGATACGATCATGTGATAGTGATATACAACGCCTCAGAGACAAGCTGGCCAGCATTATAGCCAGTGAGAAATCCTCGACGCAAAGCTTACGGGATGCTAATGCATCGTTGGTTAAGACTCAGGTGAGTTCTAATTCATACTAGTTGTGGAACCACATGCTGTACCACTCACTCAAAGGCCAGCTCCGAATGTTTTGCTTGTGTATTTAAAATCGTTACAGATCACACACTGATGTTGTATATTAACAGATTATTGTTTGCTTCTGGTACCGAACAGCGCACCATCAATATGTACCAGTCGCAAAGAGACGAGTTAGCCGAAGACGCGGACAACGATCAGTACGACGAAACCATCAAGGCGTACGAAGCGAAAATCGCCGAGCTCGATGAACAGTTGCATGCGCTTGAGGTAGGACACGCCTCTTGGACACCTCGAGCCTTATTCTCATCGTTGCTAAGAAGAATATAGCTACACAATATAGGGTACCACACACTGAATTCACAAATACTTTTTTCGTTCCTCGGGTGAAACACAGGCCAGCAAAGAAGACCTCGACGTGAAGATCAAAGAGAAGCAGAGCAGTAATGCTGACTATCTCGAAGAACTGACGGGCATGAAGAAGGACGAGGAGAAGCGCAACCAGGCCGTGGAGGAGAACAAACAACAGCTCACCAACATTGCCGAGAAATTACAGGCCAACATGACAGAGATACAACGCTGTACACAGCAGATTGTGAAGGTTTGTGTTGTGACCGTGAGTGGTGTATGGCATTGTGTTTAGTGTTGGGAGTGTCTGGAAATGTTGTTTAGTGAGTGTGGTGTGTCGAACTTTAGCACCTTTTTACCAGCATTGTCTGTGGGTGTCATGTACTATATCGAGTTTTATAGTGACATGCTGTGTTCACTTTCATAGTGTATGTGGGCGGTTCATCTCAGTCACCAGCTCACCAACATTGCCGATAATGTATAGGCCAGTGTGGCTAAGATACACTGGTGTACATAGAACCAAGTTGTGTGTATAGATTTACTCCAAAGTATGGGTTTGATCGTGGTGTATGTTTTTCTTTACTATATGTTGTTCAGTAAATGACGTCACTGAAAAGTCAAATATCAATTGCCCCTCGTAGTTTCATATCTTGAATTACGGTATCGTATACAATTGTTGACACGTTAAGTTTGACTGCATAACATGCTGTTCTTGTGAAATTATATTATTACCATTTGCATGTGCATCGATATGTCTCGAATCACCGTATACTATACGCATATCACTGATCGCATATACATGTATACATATTTACACGCGCATATAGATATATAAATACATATATATATATATATATATATATATGTGTGTGTGTGTGTGTGTGTGTGTGTGTGTGTGTGTGTGTGTATATATGTGATCTAAATGATATATGCATTTGGTCCAATACCAACACGGCAGTTAGAAGAAACGAAAGCCTCGTTGGAGGAGGAAGCACACACAGCCGAGCAAGAGTGTCAACACGAGCGTGAGATTGCATTGCAAGCATGTGACGAACTCACACCCGAAGAAGCCCCAGAAGTGTACGAACGCATGATTGTGGGCAAGAAGAGAGCCCTGGACGCTATGGAGAAGCAGCAGGTGTGCTAGTTACAGTGTTGTAGCTGTATGGTGAAGTGCGAGTGTGTATGCAGGTGTGTGGTGTATCAATAGTGTACTATGCACTGCAAGTGTGCAAGTCCCTTGCACCCGAGGTTCTCAAGAAGCTTGCACCAAAGGTACTACTGGATGCTATAGGTAAATGGCAGGTACATGGTTTTGTTTACCCTAGTTGTGATTTACGGGTAACACCACACGTGATGTTTAGGGTTTTGAACCCTACAACCATTTGCTGTTCATTAACCAGAAGCCCACGTGCGCATGGTTGCGGTTAACAAGCAGTACTCGGCCACAATAAGAAATCCATCGCTAATCTTGTGAAAATACGTAGGTACAAGTGTAGCTCGACCTTTACCACCACTGTTGTCCACGATTTGTGAGTGCGTATGTAGTCAAAGTGACAGGTGTCGATCATAGCTAACCTCTGTCCATATATGTATCGTATTCGGCCATATCTATTTTTCTTAAGAGCCATCCGTAGTCTGAGTCAGTGATGTTGAATGCCTACAATACCCGTCGCTCGTATTTCTATCGTGAATCTCACACATCCCAGACTCAACACGCACCCTCGTGACACTCATTTTAGTTCCAGATTTTCACAAGGTCTCATACTCTCAGCCTGTTTATCATTACATACGGCTGTAGCATCATATCGACCCTACTTCTAACACAT